GATGGGGAAGTTGAGAATGGATATATCAATCTACTGCACATGTGATAAAATTACACAGAACTAAATACACACACCAGAAAAACACTGCTGTGGAGTCAATGCTGACTCATAATGACCCTATAGGGCAGAGTAGAACTGCCCCATAAGGTTTCCAAGGCTGTAATATTTACAGAAGTAGAGTGCTACATCTTCCTCCCCCAGAATGGCTGGTGGGTTCCACTGCTGACCTTTCTATTAGCAGCTAAGCACTTAATCACTGTGCCATCAGGGTTCCTTAAAACAAACACATGCAAACAACATAGTCCATGCCATATATACAGAAAAATAGTGGATGTGATTTCTAAAATGTTTTCAGCAAATCCTCTTATAATAAGAATGTACCTTTGTGAAATTAGAGAGACAAAGAATGAGAATGGTAATGTTCTATACGATCTAAGAGACCTGTAAGATGTACTGTTAAAGAAAAAAGACAAAACAAACAAACAGGGTAGTGTTTTTAACATTCTACCACTTGAGTAAACCAAAAATATAAAACAATAGGAAAAATGTATACATTGCATGCTTATCATAGAGGTTTTCTGAAAGGATACAAAAGAAAAAGTTCATTCTGATTACCTTTACAGATTGGGTAGAGGGAGGCTGGGGGTTGGCATGGGAGATTTTTAATATATACTCACATGAACCTTTTGAAGTTTATGCCATATGAATATACTACCTATTCATAAAATTATTTTCTTTACGAATATATGAAAATCAAGGCAGATCAATGCTTCGGTGCCTTCACTTTTGTTCACACCTCTGGTCTGGCCACTGCTTTCTGTCACTACCCATCTCTTCCCGGGTACTTACTCATCAGGCTCTGTACCTAAGCCTCACAAGCCTTCATACTGTTTCTGAAGATCAGTGTTCTTGGTTACCTGAAAATGCTTCTGAACAATTATTTTTCCAACCCACACACACTGTACACGTATGGCACAATTCAGTCTGTAGCAGCTGACTACAAAAGGAGACAATTACTTTCAAGTGAACTGGAAATGCTGAATTTCAAAGAAGCATGTGAGATCAAATGAAAGAGTAATAATGATGATGAGCTTCATGTTCCTGTTATGTGCCAAGCAGTTAACAGGCATTATCTCAACCGAAACCTCACAGCAATCCTTAGTAGGTGTATTCTATTATTTTCATTTAACAGATAAGGAACCCGAAAGCTCAGATAGGTTAACTGACTCACTTAGGGTCACAAAGCTTCTAAGAAAAGCCTCAATTTGTACTAGGGTCCATCACTACTAAATACATTTTAATATTTCTAATACATTCTCTTTCTGTAGCTTAGTTAAAACCTTGTTTTGGTAGCTCGGAATTGAAACTCTAAAATCTATGTGAAACAGCTGTATGTTCCTGTAGCTCAGAACCTGTTGCTTTTAAAGTCCTAGCAGTAAGCCAGGCTCCAGATACCTATTACCAAAATACCTGCAACTTGTACAGTTAAAATAATTCTGCACAAAAACTGAGGCCCCTCCAAAGAAAACCTGGGCTGAAACTTTTAGTTTATCTAATTAAGAATTTAATACTTAGTCTGCAGATGAGATGGCATCTACTTTGGTTTGCTCAATCAATGCTAAGAACTCCTTAACAAGAAAAATTCACCCAACCAGAAACTGAAGATTTTATCTTTGCCAATAAACTTCCAGATTAGTCACTGATACCTGAATTAAATTCAAACTTTTAGAAAATTAGGTGATCAAGTTAAGTGTCAACAAATGGGCCACTGTATTATTGACTACCAATCTCTGCAGTCAGTCACTGAAATATTTTGATTATGCCAACTTAACCTTAAATAAATGATTCCCAAATAGAAGAGTCCTCGCATCTCATCTACAAAGGTATTTGCCAATGAGAGACTCTAAATCCTCTTTAAAAGATCTGAAGCATTAAAGATAGCAGGGACCGTGATATCAGGAACTTTACCCACATCAAACTGTTCTGTGTTAAGACATTAAGACACTACAAACAATTTTAAATAAACCTCATAGGATTAAAACAAAAACTTAAAAACATGTACTAAGCAATTTTCTAAGATAAGAAAAACAATGTTAATAAAAATAAAATGCTAGCAGATAAATGGAATCCACGTTTAGTCTGCTATATTCCAAGGATATACCTCTTAATAAACTTAAAACATTTTGAGATATCAAGAAATTTTTTACCCACACCAAACTTCTCCAAGATGTCCTTGTACTTCCTATCCTATTCTGCTTCTAATGATAATGGTCAGTTCAAGAATTTCTTGACAGGCCTATATCAATCTGTTGTTGTTGTTGTTATTTGCCGTCGAGTCGGCCCCGACTCATAGCGACCCCTCCTTGGGTTTCCGAGGCAGTATCACTACGGAAGTAGGATTGCCCAACCTTCCTTCCGAGGAGTGGCTGGTGGATTTGAACCGCCAGCCTTCTGGTTAGCAGTCAAGTGCCTTAGGCACTATGCTACCAGAGCTCCTATATCTAGCAAAGTCAAATATTAATTGACTATTATTTCCTTTTTGTTGCCCAATTCCTGACTTTCTGGTATTTCTTTTTCATTAATCTCTTTTCCTTGAGGTTACTTGTTATACCAATTTCCTAAAGCAGGCAACACTCTTATGTACATCCTAAAGACTGTTAATCTATGTCTTCTGAAAACTGGTAGAGGGTATTTGACTCTCTTCACTCTTTAAAGACCCTTCCTGGCATGCATACACAGGTACAAAGTGATTTGACAGTAATTACCACTTCTTACGCTAACTGGCATATGGTCACTGGCATCCTGAATACTATAATGTCTCTATGAGTCAGAATCCACTCAAGTGCAAAGGGTTTGGTTTTTGGTTTTATCCTGGATTCTGTCAATCAGAAAGGAAAAAGGTTAAGGACAACTGACAAAAACTATTTCCTAGAAGAACACAGGCCTCTATTTTCTTCTGAACTAGAGAATACATTTGGAAGTTTTGTTTTTGATGGTGACAGACATTATTAGATTTGGTAACTAATAAATGGATCTCTGTACAAACAATAATTCTTGGGACATACCTTCATTCAACATAGTATTGTTGAGAAAGATGAGTACACAATTAGATTTGTAGGCCAAATAAGCAAACAAAATAGCTTATTAAAATACTATAAACATTGGAAGCTATTTAATATAGCAAATTACACATTCAAATTTGACTAGGTAATGAAGTTAAAGCATCTTAGGTTTAAATTTCAGGGAAGATAAAAGTACAGGAGGTGAACAGGATTTCCCATTACAGTCTTCAGTACTGTAATTCAAGTTCTTGAACCCAAAGTGATACTATTCAAATGCTAGTAAATATTAACTCTATTTATACATTATTTAATGTACGTCATAAAATGAAAGGATTCTTGGTCTGTAGCCTAAAAGAGAACATTTCAAAATATTTACGCTTTTTGTGAACAAACTTGCAACTTGCAGAGTTAGATTATAAATGGAAGTAGTGTTTGAGGAAGAAAGCTCTTCTTCATCTTCTCTCATGCTGGAAGATGACTTTATTATTTCTTTGTAGAATAAAAAAAGGAAAGGAGTTCCTTTTCTGTTTTTAAATAGGAGTAATATTTGGGCTTCAGCTCTGTGTGTTTCTGGGTCCTACCTGGTATTATCCACAAGAGAGGACATTCCATGCAGAGGGCCATGCTTTCCGGTAATAAGCAATCTGGCAAGAACTTGAAAACTTGGCAGGCTTCAAGGTTACATGCCAGAGGGCTCTGCATCTCTATAGTCCTTCCCTGAAATCTTGATTAAAAGACCAACAATTCAAGTTCAGCAGTAAGGCAACAAGCTCCTGAGTTCCATGGAGTACATCAGTTCTGTCCACCAGGATTTCAAAGCCGGATCAGGTAAAAATCAAAATACAACATACAAGGAAAAAGTGAAAAGAGTAAGTAAAGAAGAGATGGAAGGTAGGAGGAAGAACCAAAAAAAGAAAATGTCCAAAATATAAACATCATGTTACAAAGCAGGTACGTTCCAGGGAGCTGATGGATATTTGACATTGGTCTCTACCAGTCTTCAAGACGCAAAGATGAGTGTCTGAACATCATTAAGCCTTGTGTTTATAACATGTGCTATGGAATCAGTGAGATATAGAGTATTCAATGGGAAAGGTTTTAGTATGTTCAGCTGGCATGTAATCAGGACACATTGTATTAAAAAAGCAATAAAACAAAACTAAGAAAGCAAAACAAGAGAAAGGGGCCCATGGTGTATAGCCCATGAATCTCATTGGCTTTATCATGAAAGTTTATTGTTTTTAATCCTAGTACAATCAGCTACCAATTACATATACAGTAAAAAACAAAAACAGCCACAAAGCAATGATGATAGAGATAGTTTGTGACATCGTACAGTGAAGGAAGTATTCTGTCAGAATCCTCCAGTGGGCCCCACCTGGCTTCAGCAGTTAAGCTATCACTCCCTCCCTCCCCAAAATAGTTAAAAAGAAAAATTAATGTCTTGCTTGGGTATAGCAAGACTGTAATACCTCTTGGGGACACTGGAGAACTTTAAAAAACTAAAGCAGTAGAATACAAACAAAAACTGAAACGTGGAAGCAAGGTGACACACAGCGAAGCTCCGTGAGGCCTTGGCTTCAGATCACCTCAAAGCGAACCACCTGGAAGAAAAGAGAAGGCTGTCGAGCCAGGGAAGAGCAGGCAAGTTCACGCCACTCCACTCCGCCCCAAACCCGCAGGACACAAGCTATTCTCAGGGCTTGTTTTTCTGTAAGCGGGCCAGGTTGCAGGAAAGTGCTTCCCTGTATTATTAATGTTAGCAACTAGCACATACTTACTCTAAGAACCAAAAAATGATGCAGGGAAGGGAAGCATTTTTAGTAAAGCATGCTGTCTTCTTTATCTCAAACCCTCCAAAGCAACCACACAGTAGGCTATTTATACGACTGTGCACTCTTACCTTAGAGGAACAATGACTCCGCTCAAAACTAAGTTTCATATGTATTTGGTTCGATTGAGGGCTTTTTCAGCCAGGTGGCCACTTTCATCTGTGATCTTCTCCCAATCAGTCTGTCCGACCACAAAGCCTATGGCCCTTTTCCTGTCAGCATCCTTCTTTTCTTCCAGGTCTGCCCATCTCACCTAAAAAGGACACAACATTAGCCTGGAATTTATGAAAGAACAAATATGCAAAGGGCCTCCTCCCTCTCTCAGCCTAAGGAGTAGGATAACCAATCTGAAACCAGGAGTATAAAGAATTACAGATTAACCTGGTGGAAATCATTTAGGCTCTCTGGTCAATCACCAAGTCCTAGCCATTCCACCTCTGAAACAGTTCAGCTCTCTGCTGTCCTGTTCTCTCATCTCCTCAGCCACTCCATGGTAGTTCACCAACCTTATTTTTCAACTGAAGTAAAGCACTAACTTCTACCTGGCCTTCCTGTCCCCATTTTCACCCCCTTCAATACATTCTGCCAGAGTGATCTTCCTAAAATACACACAGGACTCTCATCTGCTTTAAATCCTTCCCCTCCGGTGGTGTAGTGCCTAAGGTATTTGACTGCTAACCAGAAGGCTGGTGGTTCAAACCCACCAGCCACCCCTCAAAAGGAAGGCTGGACAATCTACTTCTGTAGAGATATCGCCTCGGAAACCCAAGGATGGGTCGCTATGAGTCGGATCCAACTTGACGGCAGTGAGTTTGGTTTGGTTTGATAACATTTTTGACAAGAAATACAAGATTACTTCCAGCTCTCAGAGCACAATGGGCATTTCACATCTCTTTAACTTTGCATATGCTAGTAATGCTAGTAATTCTTATAATGTCTTTTCCCTAACCTTGTCCACCTGGCATGAGTTTAGTCATTCTTCTGTTGTTTCCTCTTTTTCTTTGCCAAGCAAATAATTAACCATTGCTTCCCAAGAGTTAATTCTGGATTTTGACATGTTTAACTTTTGAACTTCCATAATGTATTGTAATTATCCACTTATGGATCTGTCTTCCCTAACAGACTATAAACACCTAGGTCAATGACTGAGTTTTATTTATCTCCACGCAATAAATATTTCTTGAAATTTAATCTGAAGAGAGAGGAAACAGGGAGTTGGTATTATTACTTTCATTCACGAGATAAAGAGATCAAGAGACTGACCAAACTGATATAATTTAGATTGTATATTAAACTCTTGTCTTTTTAAAAATATATTCTTACATATTATATTAATAATACATTTAAAAATATATAGATATATTTTGTAAAAATTTGAGTACTTCGAAAGAGAGACTATGAAACAGTTGTTCAGTGCACAGCACCAGTGTCTGCAGAGACTGTACTTTTAATGGCTGATTTAATATCTGTGACAGGGGAACCTGAGCATGAAGAAACTCCAACTCTTTACGTTAGACCTGGAAATGTGTTATCACTCTCGGGCGCACCATGCCCTTCCTTATTATCATTTGCAAAACTGGTAATGAGATGACTAGGCTTCTCCAAGTAGCAACCACTTGGCCAAAAAGGAACATAGGTAGTAATACCAGTACAAGTATTGATAACAGTTAAGTTTTATTAAAGATTTTAGATTTTAGCAGTCCCTAGCTGCCCTTCACGTCTGAAATGGAACCCACACTACTATAGAATGAATGATTGCCAAAACACTAAAAATATAAAGGAACAGAATAAATGACCTTCTGTTAGAAACAGCTTCTTGAACATCAGTGTCCCTGGTAATCTACCTGCTATTAGCTGCCTTGTGTCCAACTAGTGGCAACTCCATGCACAACGGATTGGTTGCAAACGGGATTGCTGTAGTTCATAGGGTTTTCCCTGGCTGATTTTTGGAAGTAGACTGCCCAGCCCATCTTAGTTTGGAAGCTCTGCCGAAATCTGTTTGGCAACCCAGCCACCACACGAGCCTCCAGTGACAGAGGGGCTGGCTGGTGTGAGGTGCACTGCCCAAGAATCAAACCTGAGTCTCCCACATGGAAAGGGAGAACTCTACCACTGAATCACTACTGCCCCCAGCCATTTTCTTCTAATCTACCTGAAGGCGCTTTGATTGAAGTTTATGACATTTTTTGGCTACCTCTCTTAATTAAAGAGAAAGAAAAAAACAAAAATAAAAGTAACTTTTAGGACAAATATTGTATTAGTCCGTTATTGTGAAAGTTAAGGAAAGGTTTATATATTGGAGGACATTTTCTTTGTTGGTTACCAGGGGTGGGAGGGAAGGGGAGGGAATGCTGTTAGATAGATAGAGATAAATATTGATTTGGGTGAAGAGAAGGGCAATGTACCAAATGTGAGTGACCAATATGGCAGCATTGAGGATGAGAAAGACAGAGAGAGTTACATGGGCAGTACAAACAACAAATATGAACCCCTTTGTAAATACAATACTGAGTTGTCAATGAAAGCAAACATGGGTATAGGGACGGATAGATGGGTGAACAAGCTAAACAATTATGTATGTCTAAATGGAGAGTGTATCCAAGATCATATACAGGGTTGGCAGAAAATGGGCCTCTCGAAGAGTATGAAGGGATGGACACTGGGAGGAGGTAACTAAGGGGAGGAAGTGGGAGGGGAGCTGCTGCATTGTAAATTTTGGTCAATGACATGAGACAAAGTATATGTGAACTGCTGTATGAAAAGTGAATTTACTCTGTAAATCTTCACCCAAATCCTAATAAAAATAAATAAATAAATAACTTTTAACAGAAAAATCTATAAATTGATTAGGGAAGCCAGAATCTTCTGACCTCTTCCAATCTCACAAGGGGGGAACAGAATCACCATCAAAAGCCCAAGGCTTATTCCTATGAGGCCAAACATACCCACCACCCTCCAGCCTTTTACCGATTCTGACACCAGCTGTCCCTCCTATGGCCCTTACTACTTCTCTGCTGGGTTCGATAATTTGTTGCGCTGGCCACACACTCACTAACAATACTCACCGTTAAAGGGTTTATTAGGAATGTAACAGGGTACAATTCAGGTTCAGGAACGCGCTCAGGATACAATTCATCAATCAGGACAATCTTCCCTTTGTTGTGCCCTCAGACATGCCTCTCTGGCCCTCGGCCTCTTGGCCTGGTTTCTGCCCTGCTTGGGCAAGTGTTACAAAGCTCTTTCAGCTCAGCCGATAAGTACACCTAGGTGCATCCCACTCTACCAAAAAGCCTCCTGCCCAAGAGCACTCAGCACTCAGCTTTCCTGCTGTGGGCCAGCTAAGCCTGCTGCTCTGTCTTGTGCCTCTTGGATCCACTGCCACTGTCCTCTGCCAAGGAGGTCCAGTGCAGGGATCTCAGGTCCAAGGATACACTCTACTTCACTTCCAGCTCTTCTCTCTTAATGGCAGTGAGATCTCCTCTCTGCCTCTAAGAAGGTCAGAGGCATTTTAAGCCTGGCAGAGTGACAAAACTAACCAATCCCAACATCAGAGTTCTACACACTTTATTTGCATGGTCCTACCCAGTAATCTGGTAGGAGTTACACAGATTATGGCTAGAGAAGCCATACTAAGTAATTTACTGCACCCTACCAAGCCATGGTATTTTCAATCACCTCCTATGTATGCATGTGAAAGCTGGACAATGAATAAGGAAGACTGAAGAAGAACTGATGCCTTTGAAATGTGGTGCTGGTGAAGAATACTGAAAATGCCATATATTGCCACAGGAACAAACAAATCTGTCCTGGAAGATGTACAGCTGGAATGCTCCCTAGAAGCAACAACGGCCAGACTTCATCTCACTTATTTTGGTCACGTGGTCAGAAGGGACCAGTTCCTGGACAAGGGTACCATGCTTGGTAAAGCGGAAGGTCCGAGAAAAAGGGGAAGGCCCTCAAAGAGATGGACTGACACCATGGCTGCAACAATGGGCTAAGCACAGCAAGGACTGTGAGGCTGGAGCAGGAGCAGGCAGGGTTTTGTTGTGTTGTACACAGGGTCATCCTGAGTTGGAGCTGACTCAACGACACCTAACAACAAGTAAAAAGAAGTCTTTGTGGAGCAGTGGTTAAGCACTAGGCTGCTAACAGAAAGGTCAGGGGTTTGAACCCACTAGCTGTTCCAGGGGAGAAAGATGCAGCAGTCTGCTTCCCTGAAGATTTATAGCCTTGGAAACCCTACGAGGCAGTTCTACTCTGTCCTATAGGGTCACTATATTCAATTAGATAGCAAAATAGGTGTCAAAATTCAACTAGATAGCAATGGACTTTTTTAAAAAACAAGTAAAACTTAAAAAAAGTAATTTTAAAGCCTAATGATTTAGGTAAAATTCTAATGTGATCAACTCTACAGAATTACCTTTTTGTTATAAAAGTAAATCCCAGGGACCCACTTGCTATTTGTAAAGAAAAATGAGTTACTTAAATTAAGAAAGGAATGAGGAATGTACCTAGCATTTCTTACTTCCTGTAGGACCTCTGTATACTCTGATGTTGATTTTGGGGACTGGTTTGAGAGTTATAAACCATGTGAAATCAGGGTGTGAAGCAGGGAAGGAGATTTAAAGAGGAGCCACTGTAAAGAACTGGAAGTGTACAGCTCAGCTCTTTTTACCCTACACAACTTACAAAATAAATTACATGCAATCACTTACTTACTTCTTTACTAAAGTGAGTGACAGCTGAGTAAAAAGAGAAAAATATTTCTCATCTCAGATTATTCATTATTAGCAGCTCTACAATGAACTACTATTTTCATGGAAAAGCTAATTCTTCTGGTGGCCCCAATCTTAAAACTGGAATAACAGATATTAATACAAGTTGTTATTGTATATGATGGTACATTAAAGAAGTCCACTAATTGGACCTCCTTCCCCAACCCCCTCAAGCCCCATAGATGAGAGCAGGCTCAGGGACTATCTGCAGTATTTGAAAGAGCTATAATACTGGGAATCCTTTTTTTTTAGTTTTGTTCTATGTTTTCGTCTGCTCTGCCCAGGAGCTCCTATGTAATCCCTTTCAAAACAACTGGCAGTGGTAGCCAGGTATCATCTAGCTCTGGTCTCAGAGTCATGGGTGGGTTCGCATGGTCCATTAGTCCTTTGGAATCATTATTTACATGTGTCTTTGATTTTCTTGAGAGCTTTGGTGGCATAGTGCCTAAGGCATTTGACTACTAACTAGAAGGCTGGC